GAAAATAAACATGCAATCGTCTTAATTATGTGTCAACTTTAAAAAATTACATACTTTATTTATTTATTTATTTTGGTACCCATGATCAAACCCAGGACCTTGTGCTTGTGAGGCAGGTGGTGCCACTGCTGAGCTAAATCCCTGGCAAAAAATTATACATTTTAATGGACAAATATACCAATATGAAATAATGGTAACTTCCAATTGTGCATATAACATCCCTGTGATAGATTCACACAATCTATATACTTAAATACAATTTTCACAGTGGGCAAAAGTTTTGGGCTGGAGATTTAGCTCAGTGGTGCCATGTCTGCCTGGCATGCACAAGGTCCTAAGTTCGATCCCTGGTACCAAAAAAGAAAAGGTTTTGGTATTAAAGTTAATCTTCAAGGTCTGAATACAATAGACAGCAGCCTCACTTGGAAATCACAAATGTCAATTCTCCTATGATGTGTTATGGACATGAACCAACTCCCCAAGATGAATGTGATCATGATGTACATAAACATGTAATAATAAAAAGTTTTGGTTTCAACTTCATTTAACCTGAACCAAGAGAGACCATGGTGGAGCTGGGCACAGTGGCCTGTGCCTGTAACCCCAGCACTCAAGTGGCTGAGGCATGAGAGAGCAGTCTGGACTACAGCGTGAGACCCTGTCTCAAATACCAGAGGTGGTAAGTAGAGAGAATGACGGAGAAGAGAAGGGAGGGAGGGAGGAAGAGGAAAGGAGAAGAAGAAAGGGAGAGAAGGAAGGGGGAGGACAGATAGAGGGAGAGACAGACAGACACAGATGGACAGAGAGACCAACCATAGTAGGCTGAGGGTGTAACTCAGTGGTAGCTTACCTAGCATATACAAGGCCCTAGGTTTGATCCCCAGCAAGGAGAGTGAGGGATGTTAAGTACAGAAGAACAAAAATAAGGATAATAAAGAAGTTTGTTGAGGGTAACAATGCAAGCCAAGTGACAAAAACAAAACCAAACCAAAAAGACTGTTGACACAGAATCTATGCTCAGGAAAAATATCTTTCAAAGCCAAATGGAAAATATTCTTTGGGCATCAAAACTGAAAGAATTCAGTGGATCTTTACTACAAGAAGTAACAAATGATACCAATGATACTAAATGGGCCTACACAAAAGATTGACGAGAACCAAAAATGGCAACTACGTGATTAAATATGCTTTTTAAAATTATTTAAATCAGGGTAAATAAAAGACAAATAGCAAGGACAGACTTAAACCTATATCAATAACTATATTAAATGTAAATAGTCTAAACCTCCAATTAAAAGATAGAAATTACAAAATTGGACCAAAAAAAATCAAGATGACCTATATATTGCTTATAAAAAATAGGTTTAATATAAAGATATATATACTAAGACAAATAGATTATGTAAAAATATATACCAAGCTAGCAGAAATGGCTATATTAATATCAAGACAGATTTTAAAAACAGAATTTCATCAGGGCTAAAGTCATTTCATAATGACAAAGGTATCAATTCATCAAAAGGATACAATTTTTTTTTTTGGTACCAGGGATCAAACTCGGGTCCTTGCATTTGCGGGGCAGGCAGTGGAACCACTAAGCTAAATCCCTGGCCCAAAAAGATACAATTTTAAATGTGCATACATTTACAGCTTCAAAAATAGGAAGCAAAAGCTAATAGAACTGCAAGGAGTGGGCCGGGGATTTAGCTCAGTGGTTTCACCGCCTGCTGTGCAAGCACAAGGACCCGAGTTCAATCCCCGGTACCAAAAAAGGAAAAGAAAAAAAGAACTGCAAGGAGAAAGAAACCTACAATTACTGTCAGAGATTTCAATATTCTTTCCTCAAAAACTGACAGAAAAAGTAAATAGAAAATCGGTAAGGATATAGAATACTTCAACTACACAAACTTGATGTAATTGACATTTAGAGGACACTCTGCCAAACACTCAAATATATACTTTTCAAGTGTATACATAATTTACCAAGAGAGACCATAATCTGAGACATAAAAATAAGAACCAATTTAACAGGATTCAAGTCAGACAAAGTAGGTTATTTGGCCACAGTGGAATTAAATTCAATAGCAGTAACAAAAAGATCCCTAGAAAATCACCACATTTGGTACATTTATAAAAAATACACATGAAACAAGAAACTAAAAGGGAAATCACAAAGTATTTTGAATGGAATAAAAATGAGAACATAACTGAATGTGCAGGGTGCTGTTAGAGCAGTTTTTAGGGGTAAATTAATAACACTATATACCTATATTAGAAAAGAAGAAAGGGGCTGGGGATTTAGCTCAGTGGTGCCACACCTGCCTGGCAATCGCAAGGTCCTGAGTTCGATCCCTGGTATGGGGGTGGGGTAGGGGGTGTTTAATCAATGAACATAGCTTCTACCCTAAGAAACAAGAAATACCTAGCATGTACAAGGTTGGGGTTCAATCTCCAGCACCAAGCAACCAACAAATAAAAAAGAAATAAGAAAAACATCTAAATATAAAGTAAGCAGAAGAAAGAAAATATAAAGATTAAAAGCATAAATTAATATAATGAAAACCATAAAACCAAAACCAAAAAAAAAAAAAAAAATCAATGAAACCAAAAGCTGGTTCTTTGAGATCAATAAAATTGACAATCTTTAGTCAAACTGATCACAATAAAATGGGAACACAAGCTGGGTATGGTGGTGCACCAGTAAACCTAGCACTCGGGAGGCTGAGGCAGGAGAATTGCAGTGACTTTGAGGCCAGCCTGGGCTACAACGGGAGACCCCGTCTCAAAAACAAACAAAAAAGAGAACACAAGAATTATCAAGAATTAGGGAGGTTGGGCCAGGGATTTAGTTCAGTGGTTCCACCGTCTGCCTCGAAAGTGCAAGGTCCCGAGTTCTATCCCCAGTACCAAAAAAAAAAAAAAAAAAAATTAGGGAGGTTGGTATCACCAAAGATTCTAAAAAGATCATTTTTGCTTTTTAATTGGGGAATTTATAATATTTACATTTATACAGGCCAGTAAATTCAAGAACTTAAATGAAATAGATATAAATCTATTAAAGCTCACAGAAGCAATCAATGACCTGAGAAACCTTTCACCTACTAAACTGAAGTTTAAAACCTTTCCATTAAAAAAAAGGAATAGTAAATTCTACTAAATTTCTGAGGAGGAAGTAATACTAATTCTACATAAACTCTTCTAGAAAGTTTAAGAAGGAACACTCCACCTCATTCTAGGCGATCAGGATTACTGACACCAAAATCAGAAAAACATGATGAGAAAAGGAAGCTACAGATGAATATCTCTCATGGATACAATTGTAATAATTCTAAACAAAATCAAATCATAGTGGATCTAGCAAAGGAAATCCAGCAATATGTAAAAGGGATAATACATCATAATGACACACTTAGCTCAGAAATCTCACGTTGGCTTAGCATTCAAAAATCAATCACTGTAATTCGCCACACTAACCAACTGAAAGGGAAAAACTGCATGAATATCAATAGACACAGAAAAAGTATGCGGCAAAATTCACCAAGCATTCCTGATAAGAATTCTCAGCCAACAAGAACTAAAAGTCCTGAGTTTGATCCCAGGAGTGGAAAAACAAAAAATAAAAACCCCAAAAAGCAACATAAAAAAGAATCTATAGTTAACAGAACGTTTAACAGTGCAAGTCTGGAGATTTTCCTCTAACATAGTAACAAAACAAAGATGACTGTTGAGGCTGGCTATTTTCCCTTTGTATCGGCCAACTGTTTTTCTCCTACCTCGAACAGTCTGTCTTTATCCAATACCTGCTTGCTACTGGAATACTGTATTCTATTTCCTTGATGTGTAAGAAATTCAGTAAATATTAAATACATTAACCCTCTGCCAATCCTGTTATAAATATTTTATCCTAGTTTAAGAGTATAGATTTTTCTATTTTTAACATGTAATGTTTAAATGTCAATGTAATTAAATATCACTTTAAATTCTTCCAATCCATTTATGCAGTCCCTCTTTATCTTTATTTTTGAGGGTTTTACTTTTTTTTTGGTACCGGGGATCGAACTTAGGTCCTTCCGCTTGCGCAGCAGGTGGCGAAACCACTGAGCTAAATCCCTGGCCCTACTTTCTAATTTTTAAAAACACACCTGCAATTTGTTTGGGTGTACAATGAGGCTTTAATTTTATTTGACTTGGTAGAGTGACAGATAAGCCTTCTTTTTATGAGGCCAGTGATTTAATGATTCTTTTTGCCTTGCTCTAGAACTGTAATTGTCTAGTAATAAATTTGTTTTGATTTCATTGTGTTGTTCTGTATATTCCACAAGAAAATAAATACTTTGCCATCAAGAGATAATCTGTGTTAAATAACACTGTATGATTCAAAAAATACTTGCTGGAGGCCAACTATAAGCCAGAGACTAGGGATTCAACAGAGGTCAGGCCAGGCATGGTGGCACACACCTGTAATCCCAGCACTCAGGAGGCTGAGGCAGGAGGATTGCTCAAGTTCGAGGCCAGCCTGGGCTATATAGTGAGTTTAAGCTCAGTCTAAACTACATAGCGAGGCCCTGTCTGAAAAAAAAAAAGGGGCCGGGGATTTAGCTCATTGGTTCCGCCGCCTGCCTCGCAAGCCAAGGACCCGAGTTTGATCCCCAGTACCAAAAAAAAAGGAAGAAAAAGAAAAGACCTTTATTATTATTATTACAGATGATATCCTCTAGCTATAACATCCTATATTAATATTCACCATGTTATTTTTTACTTTAAGTGGATCTTACAGACTGTCCATTACATTCTTTCTCTGGCTCACATTTTCCCCTTTCTTCATATTTCATTTCTTCAATACTGAAAAAAACCTGATAAAATAACTTGGCTCCTATGCCTCCAAATCACTGTTTTATTAAGGCTAAAAACTCAAACTGATATCAAAAGATATCTATAAAGATATCTGGATCTATAAAGAGGTATTCAGTTAAGGCTACAACCTGTAAAGATCACTTTACCTTCGTTATAGGGCAATGGATTGCCAATCTTCATTCCAACTATTTCAGCAGATTTCAAAACTTGTAATTCCATCAAAATAACCACTCTCCTACAAAGGCAAACAAACAGAAACAAGTCAAAATAAATACATTAAGAAGCCTTTCAAATGACAAGCTACTTAAAAAGCTTTCCCCCAATGATAAATTTTTTTTGTACTAAAGATCAAACTTGGGGCCTTGCGCCTGCAAGGCAGGCGACAGCACCACTGAGCTAAATCCCTAGCCCCCTCAATGATAATTTTGATAAAATTTTTTCCCTTTGTTAACTGTTTTTCATTACTGAATAACTTGAGAAATATACAGTATCAATTCCTATGTAAGTATTTCCCTTAATCTTTCATGGATGGCATCACTATCTAAGCTTTTTGTGATAGCAAGGTATTCATTTCCCAAGCAGTTCCTTAATTAAAATGCTGCATACTTGCTACATAGCATATTTCAAGGAGCCATGGACATAATAAGAATTTAGATGAGATTCTGAAACACATGAGTTTGTGGCCCAAAGAGATGATGTTTTCAGAAACATATATTTATCTAAACAATTACTTCTTCCCAATGAAAACTAATTATTATCTTTTTTAAAAAAAATTAGTGGATGAGGGCCGGGGATTTAGCTTAGCGGTTCCACTGCCTGCCTTGCAAGTGCAAGGTCCCGATTTCGATCCCCGGTACCAAAAAAAAAAAAAAAAATTAGTGCATGTTAGTAATACAGAACAGTAAGGTTTGTTTTGGGGAAATTTTTATTACTTACCTTTAAGAAGTTACATGTCTTAGACTCATCTTTAACTCTGATTAAAACATTTCAAAAACTTCCCCAAGACCTTAGGCTCAAACAAAGACCTTTAAAATGCAGACAGGGGTATAGTTCAGTGGTAGCGCCTTTATCTAGGATGTGTGAGGTTCTGCATTTGATCCCCAACACTGCAAACATCAGTTAAAGTAAAACTTTTGACACAGCTTACAAGGCTTTCCATGGCCTGGCCTAGCTAATTTCTCCATCAATCTCACCACTCCTGAGCCCAAGTTTTCTTTTAGTTCCTGGCATATGCTATGCTCCATGGCCTGCATACATGTTGCCCTGATTATGATGTTTTTTTCTCATTCTGCCTTTATGTAACACTCACTTTTTAGTTTTTATCTCAAGCATCATTCCTCCAAGAGACACTGTCCTACTCTTTTTTTGTTTTTTTTTTTTTGGTACTGGGGATGGAACTCGGGTCCTTGGCTTGCTAGGCAGGCAGCGAAACCACTGAGCTAAATCCCTGGCCCTGTCCTACTCTTTTAGATTAGGTTTCTTTGTTCTACTCTCATACAACCAAGATTTCTTTCCTTTAGAACACCTCTCAGTTTTTAATAATATATTTATTACTGTTTATCAGTCTCTCCTTCTAGACCCTACTTTCAGTAAAGGCAGGTAACCTCTAGTGCTTAATGTAACAATGGGCCCCTAGCTCTTAACCCATAATTGAATAACAATGTTGTGATCATGTCTGCATTTTAAAAAGAACTGCAACAGGAAGAAGAAATCTATGGAGAACTAAGTGGAGGAAGAAATGGAGGCTTGAGCTGAAGAAGTGCCCGTAGAGGTGAAAAGAGTAGATGACTTAGAGCAAAAGTCAAGCAACAATAAACTCAAGTTCATGTTTTATTGTTTAAAAGGTATGGATGCTGTATTTTGGACTTTTACATATAATTAATCAGTTTGCCTTTAACAGGTATGCTATCAGGGTTATGCTATTTCAATAAAATAAGCCTGAAATGATTTCTCCTGAAAATAGATACAGAAACCTTGTAAAACTATCTGATATTTAGCAGTGAGTACTTAACTACCTTCCCAAATTATACAAATCACTCCAGGACATATAAAAATGGAAGAGTTATCAATTATTTAGCATTACCCTAAGATCAAAACCTAAAAGAAAACACACTCAAAAAAATTTCATCTTGAAATATATCCTAAATTAAATATTAACAAGATGAATACAACAGCATATTAAAAGAATACACAAATAGCACCTTACAAAGAATACAGATGTCAAAGACATGTTAAACATCTTTACAAAAAAGCAATCAAAGAAATCCAGACTGAAGGAGACTGTTGAAGGGAGATGATGGGACAAATGATCCGACTGTTTGACAAACAGTAAGGGAGAAAAAGATCTGGAGAAGGATCTTACATATGTCAAGAGATTTACAGATTATTCATCTACTGTAGTGTGAACTTTACTTTGGACCCTGATTCAGTTAAGATTATATATGGACATGAATACTGTACATACTGACATAGATAGACACATAAACATCTACCTTCAAGGAGATCGATCAATTGATCAATCTATCTGATGTCTGATATTTATTTCAAAATTATAGACAAAAGGAGATGTAGAAAGGACACAGAGCAAGGCTGGACATGAGGTGATAATCTGAGTAATATCCATAAGGGGACTCTTAGCACCACTGTGTACTTTCATAGATGTTTAAAATTGTCCAGAATAAAAGAGATCTGGGGGAAAGGGCAGGCACCGTGGACACACCTATAAGCCTAACACAGGAAGACCCTAAGTTCCAGCCCAGCCTCTGTCTCAAGAGGAAAAAAAGGGGATGGGGTGGGGATGTAGCTCAGTGGGTAGGCCCTAGATTCAATCCACAGTACTGCAAAAACAACAAAAAGATTTTTTTTTTTTCAAGAGAAAAAAAGGAAGCTTTAGGATTATTTTTAAGGAAGGATTTATTGTGTAGGAATGAAAGACTAGTTCAATATTATTTAATCTATTGCATAGATGTTAAAGGATTAAAAACAATGATCATATGGAGATACAGGGAAAGCTTTTTAAAAATTGAAGAGCCATACTTGAAAAAACTCTGAATAGAAGGACCTAAAAAGAGAAGAGTCCTGAACGTGATAAAGTGAAGGTATCTACATGATAAAAATCAAGCTGAGCAGTGAACTAACAGCATTTCCTTTAAAATCAGGGCACAAAGAAGGTACCTGCTGACATTACTACTATCTAACAAAGTCGTTTTGATGGTGCTAGCTAATTCGGTAAGATTGAAAGAAACAAAATAAATGACACAAATTTTTCAATGAGATAAACAATTGTGTATCCTAAAAAAACCCAAGAAATTTTAAGTGGGCACATACTATATGCACAAAAAAACCTAGTTATCAACTATATAAATTTAATATAATTATTTGCACCCCAACAAGACTTCCACTTACTTTTCAAAATTTGACAATATAACCATAAAACTCATATGGAGAAATAAACATGAGAGCTGCCAAGAAAATTTTTTTGGGGGGGTGAAAAAAGTAAAGGAATACATTGCTGAAAGTTAACCAAAACACTCTGCAGGTGACAGTTTAGCTGAAATTCTATGATACAGAATTCTAAGTGTTAGGGAGGCTGTGCAGAAGCTCCGCACTTCTATTCTGCTGGCGAGAAGGTAAATTGGCGTACCTTTTTTGGAAAAGAGTCTGGTAATTCCTCAAAAAGTTAATCTAATCATGAAGGTACCATTTGATCCAGCAATTCCACTCCTAATCACAGCTGCCTGTCAGTATCTACAGAGGACAATTTCCAGATTTTGGTAACCCTCGGATACCAAAATATACAAGGCAGTATTTACATACAACATAAACACATCCTCCTATATATTTTAAATCATCTCTAGATTAATTGTAATACCTAATACAATGTAAATGCTACACGAACTCTTGTTATACTATATTGTTTAGGGCATAATGACAAGAAAAAAATCTAAACATGTACAGATGTAACTGTTCCTCTGAATATTTGATTTGGAATATCATAGCCTCAAAAAGGAATAAGCAGTAAGACCTGCTATAACCCACGTGAAACCAGTATGTTAAGTGAAAGAGGGCAGCCGAAAAAGACCACATATTGTATGATTCCATTTATATGGAATATCCAGAATAGACTAACATGTAGACACAAAAAGTAGATTAGTGGTTGCCTGGGACTGGGGAAGCTGGAGGACTCAGGGATGAAAGCTGGGGGGTGCAGGGTTTCTTTTTGGTGTGATCAATGATGTAAAATTAATTGTGGTAACAGCTGTATAGCTCTGTAAACACATTAAAACCACTTTATACTTTAAATCAATTGTATGTTATATGAATTAAATCCCTATAAAGCTGTTACTAAAATCTTCCCCCAGAACAAAAAGCTGTCACTGACAGGAACAGACAAATCAGTGGAAAACATGGCAAATTCTTTCTGCATCTGCTCTGTCACCAGGCGACAATTTTCCACATTAACTATCTGAATAATCTTCTGGAACTTTAAAAAAATTTAGATCATGCCTCAGTTCCCCTGATCAAAACCCTCTGGCCTCATAACACACTCAGAATAAAACCTCAACTGCTTACTAGAGCCCTCCACGATATGTGCTACCTATCTGGAAAAAAGTTAGGATACCTGCCTCCCTTGTAAAAATTCACAGATGTGGGGGCCGGAGATTTAGCTCAGTGGTGCCGCTGCCTGCCTTGCAAGCACAAGGCCGAGTTCAATCCCTGGTACCAAAAAAAAAAAAAAAAAAAATTCAGAGACATGTCCAAAAGAACTAAAAAATACTTTTATAACCTGGTCAGGAAACTTCTCAAGCATGATATAGAATCCAGAAGCCATAAAGGAAAAAAAATAAGGGGGGGGACAAATATGAATAGATTTTTGCAAAATTCTTTAGTTCCTTATCATGTGATAACATATGCAAAAAAAAAAAGTTAGCAAAAGAAAATGTGAAACAGATAACAAAGAGTTAATATCTCTGGTTTGCAAAGATCTCCTATAAATAAAAGTTTTTCAAAAGAAGCTAGGTACAGTGGTGCACACCTGTAATCCCAACTACTTAGGAAGCTGAGGCAGGAAGATTGCAGCCTAGGTAACTTAGTGGTTCCTTGTCTCAAAAATAAAAAGGGCTGGAGGGCTGGGGATTTAGCTCAGTGGTTCCGCCGCCTGCCTCACAAGCACAAGGACCCAAGTTTGATCCCCAGTACCAAAAAAAAAAAAAAAAAAAAAGGCTGGAGATATAGCTCAGCGATATAGCACTTGTCTGGCATATGTGAGGCCCTACGTTCAATCCCCAGTATTAAAAAAGAGAGAGAGCGAGAGCGAGAATGAGAGAAACTACAAAGAGTCAATAAAAACAAGAAACGACATTGTATCTCACTAACAGGGAAGTGTAAATTAAAATACTAATGATTAGTAATTATTTTTTAAAATTAATAAACCCTAGTATGTTGACAAGGTTTAAAAAAAAAAAGGTCTGTTGGGTGTGGTGGTACACAACTGTAATCCCAGCACTCTGGAGGCTGAGGCAGGAGGATCACTGTGAGTTCCAGGCCAGCCTGGGCTAGAGCAAGATCCTCAAAAACACAAATAAAAATACATAAATAAATTTTAAAATAATAGCTTTATTGAGATATTCAGATACCATAAAATTTACCCTATCAAACTATGATTTGGTGGATTTGAGCACAGAGTTGCACAAGCATCACTTACTGCCTAACTTCAGAACATTTTTATCGTGCTATAAAGAAGCCCTGTCCCCAGCGATAGTCACTGCACATTCCCCTACCACTCATCTCCTTTCTTTTTTCTTTTTTTAAGGATTTGGTTTTTCAGAAGCAGACACTCTCCCATAACACTTAGGAGCAAGGCAGGTGGTGTATTTTGTCCCCTGACCACACAATACTAATTCTAGCAATTAACTCCTCAGAAATAAAAGCATGAACACAAAAAGTAAACTGAATGAAGATGTGTGTTAAAGCCTCCTTGAGAATAAACCTAAATGACCAATAAGAAGGCAAGAGGTAAGTAAATTTGGATGTACACACATGCAGGCTCTCAGCAGAGGCAGGGAAGAGTCCAAGACAGGCCACCAGGCTGAGGGGCAGAAATATGGCAGAGCCCATGAGAGTGGAACTAACTGTATTCCTGATTGACAGAGTGCTGGAGTTTCCCCAGCACGGACTGTCTGTACTCAACCCAGCAAAGCTCTCCAGCCTCTCCCACAACCATTCCCTAGAGGACAGAAAAGCGAATGGAAAGCACAGCTTAAGGCACTTACAGTAGCCTGGAGTGGAAGATAATAGGTCCCTCATGTAGGAAGGCTGGCACGAAGATGTACCTAGCCTAGACTGTGTCACAGCACGTATGAAGTCTGGAAGAATTGTCCACATTAAGCACAAACAAGATAAAAAGAAAGGACATAGCAACAATGCAATAGACAATGGTGTATAAAAATGAAAGGAACAAGGGAAAAAGATAATTAAGGAACTCAGCCTAGAAGAAAGCATAAGCCAAGAAAAGGAATGATACTCCCCAAAAGTGACTCACAAAATAAATAAGACTATGAATTCAATAAAGACCCAACAGATGAGTTAAAAGAAAAGTCAGAAGAACAAGGAGTTTGAAAAGCTAAGAAAACAGAACAAATGCAACACATATAATACCTAAAATATAAACACTCAAAATTAATAACAGAAAGGCTAAAAGTTAAAAGGAGAAAGATATATCCAAAAGAAATTGAAAAAAACTGGAAATGTACAGATAATGTAACATACTGATACACCTTTACTAATATGGGAATGCTTGACATATTTGCTTTTGTAATTAAAAGTAAAAAATGTTAACAGAAAAATTGCACAGAAGACTCCTCCCTTCTAAAATAAATCATTTAGCAATGGAAATAATAGTTCTATTCACTGTTGTTCTAGGATACACCATCTTGTAGGGACTTAACATATTCTGTACTGGCTGAATATCATGTTTACTAGGAAGGATTCAAGACTCCCCAAAAGGGCAACATTGTATAATTAAATATACATCTTGCTGTAGTGAGTGGCCTCTATTAAAAGATTCTAAAACCAATCAGAAGTAGAGTCGTGCATTCTCCTTTAATCTTCTGCACTGAGATTTCCCATTTGCTTTCCTATTTGTCTTCCCTTGGCATCATGCTTTAGTGACCTGAGTTCAGAACTGAATAGGTATAAGTTCTTAGCTGGAAACTCACCAATGGCTTTTTAAATTCCTAATTGAATTTTGGCATCTGATGTACTTCTCTGTTCACAAATTAGTACCCATACAAAAAGACAGAAAACAAAACACATACCTTCCATCTTTCAGAGTGTTAACAATGAATCGTTGAATCTGGCAAATACAGTTGCTAGCCAATCGTTCTTCCTCAACCAGAGAGTTCATCTGTGTTGCTAACATGAAAGCTAAAAAGCACAGAGATTACTTTAGCCTGCAAAGTGTTTCAGTCTTCAGAATATGAAAGCTGATCGCAAAGAAAAATAATGACTTAAACATGTTCCTTTTTAAATTAAAACTAATAAGGGCCGGGGATTTAGCTCAGTGGTTCTGCCATCTGCCTTGCAAGCGCAAGGTCCCAAGTTCGATCCCCGGTACCAAAAAAAAAAAAAAAAAAAAAATCCCCCAAAAGGCAAGTACAGGACAGCCAACCCATCACATTTACTAAATGTCAATATCATCCTTAGGAAAATTAATTTTAAAAAAAGAGCACAAGTTAATAGAAAATTAAGCCAAATGGCAGCTTTCCACCATATCCATTCTATTGTTAGAGTGGTCTCTGCTAGCTATAACTGCCCAAATGTAGACTTGAGGAGTGCCCCAAATTATTGCAATCAAAATGTTGGGTGTGCTTGTTATTTAAACAGTTACAGATACTCAGATTTATATACTCACAGGATAGAGTGTTTATTCCATCACTCATAAGCAGTCGATATCGGGGTGGACTATTCCCTGTAGTAATGGGGCGGATGCTCTAGGATAGAAAACGATTCATTAGCCAGGTTTTCTGCCCAATCCCGAGATAAGTAAACCTAAGTGGCAGGATGGTGGGTTTGCAATTAGTTCAGGACATGATAAACAGTGTGCCCATTCTCTTGACAGCAAAATGCAAATGAAAGAAAATTGGATTTGGTGATTTTCTCACCAACCTCTCTCCATGCAATGTTATTAAATATAACACAGAGCAGACTAAAATGAAAATGCCAATCTGTTGTGTTCTCCCTTACTCAAATTTGGCGGAAATTGATTACAAAAAAAGATATATCTAGATATATATAGATCTATCTATCTATCTATCTATCTATATATGGCATCTAATATAAGGTACTGTGTAAGCTGGGTGTGGTGGTGCACACTTGCAACCCCAGCTACTCAGGAAACTGAGGCAGTAGGACATCAAGTTCAAGGTCAGCCTGGACAACATAGCAAAACTGACTCAAGAAAGAAAAAAAAAAAGAAATTTTAAAAATGAAAAAACAAAACAGAACAAAAAAAATCTTGGCCCTGAAGGGGCTTACAACTGGGATGAAGATGAAAGTAAAGTGACATAAGCAAAATGTGCACATAATGCTAAAGAGGCAGAGCCAAGACATTTAGCACAACTTGAAGGAGATCAGAGGCAGCTTTCTGAGGGAAGTGAAATATGTAAACAGAGCCTGACGATAACTGGCAGTCTAGGAGGAGTGGGTGACCAGCAGGCTTACTGTCTCAAACTCTGCAGGTGTGATCTGGATTCTGCTTCTACTGATTTTACAATTCCTACTAAACTTGAGAATTCCTTAAATAAACAATGAGCTAATGGAAGAATTTTAAGTGGACACATTAATTTAGATATATCTTTCCAGAGGTCATATGTAACACATGTTTGAACAAGATAAATCCAAGGACAGGGAGACAAGTAAGGAGGCAGCTCCAATGACATTAGCATTATGTCATCAACTCAACAAGGAAAAGAACAGAGGCAAAGCATTAAATCTGAACCTCCAACCCAGGTGTGTTGGCACACACCTATAATCCCAGCACTCTGAGGCTGAGGCAGGAGGACTGGCCAGGCTGGACTACACAGTGAGTTCAAGGATAGCCTGAACTACAAAGGGAGACCCTGTCTCAAAAAAGGAGAAACAAATCTGAACCTCCAAAGGTTTAACTTTAACATAATTTTTTTTAAAAGCTGGGGAAGTTTTTGAGGTGGACAAATCTTTAAGTCTTTCATCAACCATAATTTATAATTATATATAAGTCTAAAACTGTTTGATGAAAAACATATATAGGTACTTACAATGACTTGGAGAATAGGTTTTATCGATGTATCCCCCTGTTGCATTATGGCCTGAAAGAACAAAAACAGATTCTTGTGAGATATGCACTTAAATCACAATTAAAAATTGGCAGACTTTTACAATTTGGTATTTGAAGTAAACCATAGATAACAGTGTTGTAAAAGCCTGTTCAGTGCCAGTCATTTGAAAGGTCTGATTTATCATTCTGGACAAATCATAAAATTTTCTGTTCAAGGAAAACAACAAATATTCTTTGTTGTCAGTAGTGTTTTCTTATGAAAATCAGAACTTTTGAACTTCACAGCATCCCAGTACTTACACACTTTTCTCATTAAATCACTGGTGATATTAATAAATATGAATTTTTGATATAACAAAATACAGTGACATTTGGCAAATTTGCATAATGCAATGAGCCAGTATTTTCCAAATGACTAATGCATGTTAAAAACAAAACACAGGTTAAAAAAAAATTTTGTTCAAAATGCAAGACAGATCAATCTACATTTCAGCTAAGCTTGAAGAAATGATCACTTTTTTTCTCTCTCTCTTTTATTTTTGGTACTACGGATTGAACCCAGGGCCATACTGAGCTACATCCCCAGCCTGTTTTTTACTTTTTATTTTGAGGCAGGGTCTTGTTAAGTTGCTAAGTTGCAAACACTGGCGAGGCTTCAAGGAAAAAGGAACCTTCTTCAGTGTTGGTGGGAGTGTAAACTGGTACAACCAATATGGAAGTCAGTATGGAGATTCCTTAAAAAACTAAACCTAGATTCCATTTGATCCAGCTATTCTCCTTCTAGATTATCTTCCCCAAAGAGTCAAAAACATCATACCACAACGATACATACACATCCATGTTTATAGCAGCACAATTTGTAATAACTAAATCTTGGAAACGGCCCAGATGCTCATCAACAGATGAAGTTGATGAATGGATAAAGGAAACGTGGTTTTTATATACAATGGAGTACTACTGTGTCAAAAAGGATAAACTTGAGACATTTTTAGGTAAATGAATGCACCGAGGTCATATTTTTAAGTGAAATAAATATTTTACTTCGTTTAAATATTATTTAAATATTGCATTGTTTCTCTTGTGTGAGAAATGGAAAAGGTAAATAAGAACCAAAATGGATGATAGATATTGGGAAGTAGGAAGAAAATGTTCAAATGGGAAGGGGAATGAGGGAGGAGGTAGGGGAAAGTGAAGGAAGGGAAAAGGAAATAAAAAGAGAATAGAAGGAAAAACTGGAAACAAAGCTTTTGTAAATAGGGAGGGGAGGGGGCTTGAGGGGGGAATGGGATAAAATTTATTAATAAAAAAATCTAAAAACATTTTTAAAATAAGGAGGGGAAGAAGGGTTGAAGGGAGGGGAGGGAAATGGGGGAAAAAGGAAGAATCAAGATGTATTATGTACAGGTACAAATTCCCTATGATTAATGTGATTATGTATTATCAAAAGTGTACCAAAAAATTAATTTGAAAAAAAAAAGTTGCTAAGATGCTCGGACTAGGCTTGAATTTGCTATCTTTCTGTGTCAGCCCCCAAGATGCTGGAATTACAGGTGTTCACCATTATTCCTGGATAAAAATTTGGATATAGTATCAAAAAAAGAGGTGTGGGTTGAGGATACAGCTCAATGGTGGGGCAGTTAGTTGCCTAGCATGTGTGAGGTATAATCTTCAACACAGTCAAATAAAAAAGGACTGACAAAGGCTATTAAAATACTGTTCCTTTCCCCAGCTAAATTTCTGTGTGATGCCAGATTTCCTTCATTTAGTTCAAACAAAACAATGGACTGAATGGAGAAGTAGATATGAAAATCCAGCTATCTTACAAAGAGATGTACAAAAATGTAAAACAATACCACTTTTCTCACTATTATTGCTTTTCTTTTTTACTACAGGGGCCTGAACCCGGGTATACTGAGCTACATCCCCAACGCTTTTTAATTTTTTTTATTTTGAAACAAGACCTTACTGAGTCATTAGTTGCCCAGGCTGAGCTCAAACTTGTAATCCTTCTGTCTCAGCCCCCTCAAAGTACTGGGATTACAGGAGTGTACCACCATGCCTGGCTATTATTATTTATACTGATTGTTATTTGAAATGAGTAAATATTTTTTAACATCTTAGTTATAATTTCAAATAGATACAGTATTACAGATATAACCCACAAAAATAAAAGGTCTTGAGCCAGGCGTGGTGGCACATGCCTGTAATCCCAGAACTCTGGAGGCTGAGGCAGGAGGATTGCTGTGAGTTTGAGGCCAGCCTGAACTACAAAGGGAGACCCTGCTCAAAAAACCAAAAAAAAAAAGGTCTTGGGCAGGCCTCAATGATGTGTAAGAATATAAACCCAATTCTGAGACCAAAATCATGAATGTTTATGTCCCTCCTAACTCATACATTAAAACTTTCATCTCCAATGTATTGGTATTAGGTGGAGCCTTTAGGATGAGGTCATAAAGCTATAGACCCCACAATGGGATCTGTGTCCTCACAGAAGAAAGAAATCAGTTCTGCCTCCAACAGCACAAAGAGGTCACGTAAGCACACAGTGATGACAGCAATCTAAGCCAGGAAGAGGACCCTCACCAGAAACCACACCTACTGCCACCTTAATTCTCTCTCTCCCTTTTTTTGGTACCGGAGATGGAACTCGGGTCCTTGCACTTGCGCAGCAGGCGGCGAAACCACTGAGCTAAATCCCCGGCCCTCTCCCACCTTAATTCTATCCTTCTCTGACTCCAGAAATGTGTGAAAATAAATGTTTATTCTTTGAGCCACCCAGTTTATAGTATTTTTTTATTGCAGCCCAAAATAAGACACACTGTCCTAGACCAATCACTATAAAAGCAATGAGTACAGCCAATAAATCAGTAGTGGTGATAATCTGAATCATAAAAACTAAATAAATAATCCAAAAGAAGCCAGGAAACCTAAAACAACGACAAAGAACAGATGGGACAAACCGAAAAAAAGTAGCAAGATGAAAAACTTAAAACCAATTATATTAAATGTACATGGTTGAAATATTCCAATTAAAAGGCAGTAATTGTCAGAATGAGAGCCAATTATTTGCTGTCTACAGAGACAATTCAAATACAAAAAATAAACTTAAACGTAAAACACTGGAAAAGAAATTATCATCAACACCAGACAAAGTAGACTCCAGGAAAGAGAATAATAGCAGTTATACAGGGACATTTAATAACAGGGCCCAATGAAGACATATAATATGTGTGACTAACAACAAAGTTTCAAAATACCTAAAGAAGAATAATGACAGAATTAAAAGAAAAAAAAAAAAACAGACAAATCCTTAATTACAATTGGTGGTTTCAACATCATTTGTCTCTATTTGAGAGGATGACTACACCAAGAGAGAAGAGAAATACATATACCCAGGGAGACTGTAAGAAATGCCTTCCTCAAAAGTATTATTAACTGAATGAAAGTGAAAATACAATCTATCTAAAGTTGCAGCATGGCTGGGTGTGGTGGCTCTAGCCTATAATTCCAGCACTAAGGAGGCTGAGGCAGGAGTATTGCAGGAAGTTCCAAGCCAGCCTGGGCTACATAGTGAATTCAAGGCCAGCCAGAACTACTTAACAAGACCCTAGCTCAAAAAAACCCCAAAACCAAAACTAAAACTAAAATAAAATAAAACTGTAAAGAGCCAGTAGTGGTGGCACACACCTGTAATCCCAGGTATTTGGAGACAAGAGCAGCCTGGGCAACATAGCAAAACTCCATCTCAAAACAAGCAAACAAAAGCAGATTTGTAGGATGTAGCAAGAGTAATGCTTTAAATGCTCCTATTAGAAAAGAAAAAGTATCTAATGTCAATGATCTAAACTTTCACCAGAAAACTTTCACTGAAAAGCCAGAAAAAGAATACATTAAACCCAAATAAAAAGAGCAAAAATCAATTATTAAATAGGAACTGGATAAACAATAGAAAAAAAAAAACTGAACCAAGAAAAAGAAATCAAACCAAAATCTAGTTCTTTGAAAAGATCAATCAAGTTGATCAATCCTTGGCCTACCTAGTGAAGAAAACATATTTTCAGTATCTGGAATGAAAATGAAGGCATCCCTGTAAATCCTATATAAAGATTAAAAAGATAATACAGGAATATTAGAAACAACTTAAAATAGAAAAATCCCTAGAACAACAGAAATTATCAAAACAAATACAAAAAAGGGTGAAAATCTAGATAGCACCATATCTATTAGAAATTAAATTTATAATTTTAAATATCTTAAGAGATGGCTTTATTGGTGATTTCTACCTACCTTAAGAAAGCACACACCTCAATATTACATAAATCATTTCAAAAAACAGAAAAGGAAAAACTTCCCAGATCATTTTCTTAGGTTTACCCTGATAGAAAAAAACCAAAGGCATTCTAAGGAAGAAAAACCATAGGCATATCATTCATGAACATAGGTACAAAAATCCTCAGTGAAATATTAGCAAATAACCAAGTCTAGCACCATATAAAATAATGTCCTGACCAAGTGGGATTTATCCCAAGAAGGCAGTTTACTCAAAATCCAAAAATCAATCTAATCTGTCACATTAACAGAATAAAGATGAAAAACATTATAATCTCAATCGATGGAGAAAAAGCATTTGACAAAATTCAACACTCATTCATTATAAAAACCCTCAGCAACTAGGCAAAGAAGAAAGCCTCAACTGATAGCTGACATCTTTAAAAAATCTAGTTAGCACTTAATGGTAAAAGACAACGATTTACCCTTAAGATCAGGAACAAGGCAAAAATAATAGCTCCTACTACTTTCATTCAATATATTAGGTGTCCTAACTATGTTACAGGCAAGGAAAAGAGACAAAAGCATCAAGATTGGAAAAGAAGAAATATGTAAAACTGCCTTTACATGCCAATGTTATGACTGCATACATAGGAAATCCTAAGAAATGTACAAAACTAGTAAGTCAATTTAGTGAGTTTGCAGAATACAAGTTTGACAGGCAAAATTTACTTCTATTTCTATGTACCACCAATAAGAACC